TATTGTCTTGCATAGACTTGTACTCTTCATTCATGGCATCAATCCACTGTTGAGAGTTAGAACTTTTCATGGCCTGAGAGAAGTTGATTGGATCATCTTCTAACATTCCACTACTTTCCTCATGTTCTTGGAGAAATACAATATAATCATCCGGAATAGCATTTCTCCTTTCTCTCGTGGATCTCCTTAATGGCACTGGTTCTTGAGGTTGTTGAGTTTGTTCTTCTGGAACAGGGAGTTGTTCAACATTATCATCTTGAGGTTCCGGATTTACTTCTTGAGCAACAACAGGTATAGGAACCTGAATATTGTCAAAAGTAACTGTATGGATTGGATCTGAAGCCAATTCCTCCTCAAAACTAATGTCTCTAACCTTATTTCTCCCCCCAAACTCAACATCCTCAAAGAATGTTGCTGTTCCCGTCTCAAAAATGTTCCTTATAGTGGGATCATAAAACTTAAAGCCCCTAGAGCGTTCAGAGTATCCAATAAAGTAGCTGCTAACTGTTTTGGAGTCCAATTTCTTTTCATTTGGCCTATAAGGCCTTGCCTCAGCTGGACATCCCCAAATATGTAAATGCTTTAAACTGGGCTTTCGACCAGTCCAAAGCTCATAAGGTGTTTTAGCAACTGCTTTACTTGGTACTCTATTCAGAATGTAAGCTGCTGTCTTAAGTGCTTCTCCCCAGAGTGACTCTGGTAAAGAAGAATGAGCAATCATACTTCTTACCATATCCTTAAGAGTCCTGTTTCGTCTTTCAGCTACACCATTCATGCTAGGTGAACCCGGCATGGTGTACTGTGGGACGATACCGTATTCCTCTAGGTATCTAGCAAATGGTCCTGGACGTTGTTCACCTGAACCATCATATCTACCGTAGTACTCACCACCACGATCAGATCTGACGGTTTTAATTCTTCTGTTGAGTTGATTCTCAACTTCAGCTTTATAGGCTTTGAACATGTCCAGAGACTCAGATTTTTCATGAATAAGATATAGGTGCCCATAACGTGAGTAATCGTCTATGAATGATATAAAATATTGTTGACCATTCCAGGATTCCGTAGGGAATGGCCCACAAATATCCGTATGTATCAATTCTAAGACATCCGAAGATCTGTTGGCACCTAATCTTTTCACTTTGGTCTGTTTTCCCTTGATACATTCAACACATACGTCGAAGTCCGAAAAATCAAGGGAATCCAAAATGCCATCAGACACAAGACGCTCAATTCTACCTTTTGAGATATGACCTAAGCGCTTATGCCATAATGTCGCCGAATTTTCCTTATTTAATTTACGCTTAGTACCACGTGATTCCACATGCAAGGATTCATTGTAAGAAGCAATTGTATCAAGCAAATATAGGTTGTCATAAATACTCAAGTAACCGGTTCCCACAACATTTGAATTAAAAGATAAACTGAATTGACTGTTTCCAAATGAACAAGAATAACCTGATTTGTCCAATACAGAAACAGAAACCAAATTCCGTCTAAAAGACGGTACTACAAAAGTATCTTTTAAATCCAAATAATAACCAGTTCCTAACAACAACCTAAAGTGCCCAATTGCTTCCACATCTACCGATTGTCCGTCGCCCACAAAGATGTGTCTTTCAACATCACTTGGCTTTCGGTAGCTCAGGCAACCCTGCATAGAAACACTTATGTGAGTAGTAGCACCAGAGTCTAACCACCAAGTGTTTCTAGGTACTGAAGCTAAATTAACCTCAGAACAGACCAAAGCAAGGAACGTACCCTTATTATCACGCCAGGCGTGATATTTTGTACAGTCCTTCTTTACATGTCCAGGCTTCTTACAGAAGAAACAACCCTGATTATCCTTATGTTGTTTCTTCTCAACTGGACCCTTAGCAGCTTCCTTATCATTCTTCCTTTTCTTGCCCTTATCCTTAGAGGCATAGGCCAAATGAGCACTTTCTGTCTTATCTTGCTTCAACCTGTCTTCTTCTTGCACACAGTATGAAATGAGCTCATTTAGAGTCCATTTCTCCTTTTGACAGTTATAACTGACCTTAAATTGGTTAAACTGTGCAGGAAGAGACAACAAAACCAGATGCACTAATAACTCGTCACAAAGATCGAGTTTAAGTGCCTTAAGCTTTGAAGCAATATGAGACATTTCCATAATGTACTCCCTGATATTTCCTTTGCCCTTATACTTCATTGAAATCAAGCGAGCTAAAAGCGTGCTTGTTTCTACCTTATCGTTTTTCGCAAAACGCTTCTCAATTTCGGCAAGGAAATCTTTAGCCTTAGTAATCCCTTCGGATTCTATGCCCCTGAAGGCTTCCGGAACGCCGCGCTTAATGATCATAAGACTCATGCGATTTGAACGCTCCCACTTCTCATGCTTCTTCTTTGCATCAGGAGTGCTTTCCGCATTGAGAGGTTGGGGTTGTTCAGTTCTTAATGCATAGTCAAGATCCATGTAGCTAAGAACAATTAATATGTTCTCTTTCCAAACCTTGAAGTTTGTCCCATTTAGCATGGGAATTGAGTTGATGTTAGCAGAAATTGTTGCAGCAGATGTATTAGCTGAAATAAAACAAAAATGAGTTGATGTTAGCAGAAATTGTTGCAGCAGATGCATTAGCTGAAATAAAACAAAAATGCTCACATCAATAACCATAATCAATAAAATTCAAATAATGACAATCCCCATCCAAGATATCGGGCACAACATTAATATCAAGTCTTTGGACAGTAATATTAACTTGTAAGTGATATCTTGTTGCAATGATCAAACATTGACAATAACTCATGTCAAATAATGAAACTATCTTTGGATCGATTCATTATTCACATGTAAACCTTATAATTGTCACACGCTTATCATCGTAGATGTGTATACAGTCTAAATAAATATTAACCTTCCTTTGGGCCGATTAAATATTTACACGAAAGCATACACACAAACATCTCACATTCCTCATGAACAATCTACACAAGAGAGGTTACTTTGGCAACTTCTTGTTTCAATTAATCAATTGGAGTGAGAGACAACCTTAATTCCTTAGTGTCATTATATTTGAATTAAATAATTGATTAAAAACCAAATTAGATTTAAATTAAAAAAATTTAATTTAAATCAACTGAATTTCCAAAAAACTTAATTGGGGTCTCACAGCTTAATTAGGGCCCATAACTTAATTGAATTAAGTATACCAAAGTGGACTCATGAAAAAGCTGAGGCTTAACCATAGTGAACACGAAGTTCGATTGACTTCGAACGCGAGGTTCGACTGTATTGAGTACGAGATTCACTTAAGCACGAACGCGAGGTTCGTTTGAGAACGAACACGAGGTTCGTTTGAGAAGTGAACGCGAGGTTCAACTTGAGAACGAACGCGAGGTTCGTTAAAAAAAATGAACGCAATGTTCAACTTAAGTACGAACGCGAGTTTCGACTGAAGTACGAACGCGAGGTTCGACTGAAGCACGAACGCGAGGTTCGTCAAAAATTGAGCTTGACGCTCACCTGAGTTGAACGCGAGGTTCACTTTAGAACGAACGCGAGGTTCGTTAAAATTGAGCTTGACGCTCACCTGAGTTGAACGCGAGGTTCACCTTAGAACGAACGCGAGGTTCGTTAAAATTGAGCTTGACGCTCACCTGAGTTGAACGCGAGGTTCACTTTAGAACGAACGCGAGGTTCGTTAAAATTGAGCTTGACGCTCACCTGAGTTGAACGCGAGGTTCACTTTAGAACGAACGCGAGGTTCGTTGAGCGCGAGGCTCACTTGATAACGAACGCGAAGTTTGTTTGAACGCGAAGTTCGGTTAAAATTGAACGAACGCGAGGTTCGTTTGAAGCTTTCAGCTTCGCCAAAATTTGAGGTAACCACCTCCTTAATGTTCGGCACGTTTCACGCACGAACCCTTAGGATTTCAAACCGAAACCGCCGCCATTAAAACAAAAAACAGATCTAGAATCGAAAAATGAGTTTTCTTGATCCAGATCCAAGAAAAAAAACCGCCGAAAAATCCAAAAAAATCCAAAAAGTTACTGTTCACCGACGATTTTTCAGTTACTGTTCATCTGAAAAAACTTTTACTGCTCATCCGAAAAAACTTTCGTTACTGGTCATCCGAACAAAAAATTTTTTACTATTCATCTGAAAATTATCGTTATTGTTCGCCCGAACAAAAAAAATTTACTGTTCATCCGAAAATTTTCATTACTGTTCATCCGAACAAAAAATTGAATCTTTAACCAGAGATTTAAGATCAAAAAACCCAATAAAACTTAAATCCCTAAGAATTAATCAAGTTGGCTCTGATACCACTTGATAGATCTAAACCAAAACTTGAGATCTAAAACCATATAACCATGATTAATTCAAAGAGATTAACAATAATCAAAAGAGCGGAAGCTTATACCTGAATCCATGGATGAACCTTGAGATGGGTTTTGGATCTTCTAACCTTAGGGTTTCTCTAAATCCGAATTTCTCTAGCTAGATGGGGGTGTAGAGAATTAGAGAATGTAACCCTATGTTAGGGACCATAACCCCTTATTTATAGATGTTGTACTTTTATAATTTAGCCCCTCAATAAATCACAATTACAACCTGGTATCTGCACATATAACCCCATGATTATATTTAAATACTCATTAACCCAACTTAATTGATCACTTTAGTGGGTTATCCTGAAAGATAGCAATACACATTGATTAATCATATGTGCCCACAATTAGATTTATTAGATTAAATCCAACAGGATTTTCTAACCTGTACAGACATTTCTAACTGTTCATACGGCATAGACAGCTCTAGAAAGACGATGGTTCTTATTTTCTTTTCTAAAAATGAACAAAGAGCGCAGATTGAGAATTTTCGTCCACATTGTTTGCAAAGAATAAAAAGATCTACTTCTATTACATTGCGTTATGCTGACAAATGCATCGTGGAGAGCTCTTGCAACGCAAGAGGTGGTCTATTATGGATTACAATCACAAGTTGAACTATGTGTACATCCAAAAAGCAAGCATATTCATGTCATTCAAATAAGATACAGTTCCAATTAATAAGCCTGTGATAACCCATACCTTACTACTTCACTTTCATGAAATCTTCAATTGATAACCCAGAGAATACGATATACACAGACGGCGATTGGGCACACATCACATTAAGAGGCGAAAGCTATACACAAATGGGGATGCCTTAAAAAAAATATAGCATAAAAAAGGAACAAACTATATCCTCGGTGATTAAAATTCTCAGTAAACACGAGTTAATCGATGACCCCAGCATCTGATTAAGAGCAGCATGAAGAAGCATTTCTTTGAGCAGGTCTATCTGAAAGAAACATTCCTGTAGGGTTCGGAGATGGTTCAGCCTGATGCAACAGTGTCTTCGCTGGAACAACATGAACAGACAAAGTTATACGAGGATTTTTATAGGGTTAATTGCACGTTGACCTGCGGAGTGTATCATTGTTTCAAATTTACTACCCTTGTAGTTTCATTTTGGCAGATGGACTCCCTGGTGAATTCTTTTTGCTCTTTTACCCTCAGGCTACTAGTTTCACCTAGGGAAATATCTGCGGAAAAAGTGAAACTACAGGGGTTGCCAGTTCAAATCACCGATACTGCACGAGGTCTATGAGCAATTAACTCTTTTTATATATTAAACAGATAAGATTTAGTTTCCCTCATCAGATTAAGAATGGGGATGGCAGTCGGATGTAAGTGCGTGTAATTATCCAACATAAAACGTTAAAATTTTCAAAAACCATGTCAAACTTTCTAACCCTAAAAAAGGCATGTGGTGTCGAACTTTCTAACGCTAAACTGCCATTCATTGGACACGACCTCAATTTAGCAGTTACAAGCTTTTCAGAAGCTTTGAAGACAAAGCACATTTACAGGGTGTTTTAATAATGAGCCAGTCTCTCCCTTCCCCACTCCTATCCTGAGTACTGCAAAATTAATCAAAAATTAGTTTTTGCAGCTATAATCCCGAACCTTATTCTAATATAGCCAAAGTTTCATGAAGTTCTCTAAAACCCCCACCATCCAAAGGCACACACGGAGAAAGAAAGAGAGAACAAGAATAGCCCAGGACTATTTCATATTTAAGGGTTATTTTTCTGATCCTACTATTTACCTTTCTTCGTCAAACCTAGCAACCATTTCAATCTAACCCATCTTATCAAATGGTTACTTCCATAGAGCCCCACCAGCATTAGTTCTTCAATGGCCATACATCCCTATCACGTCCTTTCTCATATATCCCTACTTATTTCTATTTAATTTCCATCCACATCTTTGTTCACCTCTATTCTCCTCGTACTCAGGCATTGAACTATTCCACATTACCCGTATGCGCCGACAGTTAACTGAAAATTTATCAATTAGGCCTCATCTAACTCCTGTGAAAAAAATTTCAAATCCAAATGTCTCTCTCTCCATAACCAGGGGATCATGTCTGCAATTTGATAAGAACCACTACAAGGAGCGATTTTTAAAGTTAAAGTTAAACGAAATTAGGGTTTCAAAGTAAGAAAAATTTTATGCTTTAAATTAATGCGTCTCCTCTGCTCTTTCAGCCTCCAGGGAAATTTCAAACCTCAGATCCCTTGATTGTCACTGTTAATAAAGGTAACTTTAGGGTGGGTTTTACTTGAGATGAAGATTAGAAAATATTGAGGGTTTGCAAGAGGTGCACCAAATGAGGAAGATTCCCTAAGGGTATATCTGAAAAAAAAACATTCAAATTAGCACATTTGTAAGTTAGGATAGCTCAGAATATCTTTTTATGCTTATGGATGACATATAACCTAGGTTACCACACTTTATTTTGGATTCCGGACACGTGTCGGATATGGATTCACCGCAGACAAGCAATGGACATGTATAGTCCAAAGAAATACCCAATTTCCCCATTAATTATAATAACCCTAAATTAGTAGGTATACCCCGCTCAAAACCAACAGGTATTTGAACCCGAAAACCAAAACCATTACTTAAAAGATTTGAGAAATAGTCATTGTATTCCATGCAATCAAAACTAAATTTTTGTTGTTAAACCTTAATTCTGAGTTTTATTTAACTTGGTTGTTAATTGTTATAGATAGTGCAAGAAACATACTAATATTATGGGTGTTTTAATTCAATATTTGATCTAGTGTGTGTGTGTGTGTCTATAACCGTATCCCGTACCCTGCCTTTTATAAATTTATTGTGTTCCGTGTCTGTATCCATGTCCGTGTCTGCACCCACACCTGTATCCATACAACCGAACTAAAGGACAATGTGATAACTAAACTACCCACTGGGACAACACCACTTCAATAGGAGAGTCATACTTCACCATTCACCACAAACGCATAGAAGAAAAACTACCAACCCCGAGGTTAGGTCATAGAAAGGGACTTTTGATGTCATACCAACTATCAAAACAATGTGATGCAAATGATCGCAAATCAGATATTATAAAAGAGTAATCAAATAAATATATCCAGTGTTGAAATACTAAAATCAGAAACATGGTCATCAGAATTAGAAACTTGAATGACAAGTAGCTGTGTCTTCCACTAAACTTAAAGCAAGAATCTGTGCTTCCCTTAAATATTAGAAAAGAAGGTTACCAATTTCATAGAACATGTCATTGACATTAATTGCAGTTTTAGCTGACGTTTCCATGAAGAAAAGACCATTTTCCTGGGCATATATTTTGGCCTCCTGAAATCATAATAAAAGCATTAGCACCAACTCTCTATAACGCAGATCATTTTATACTAATATTAAGTTTCGCTATTTCAGCATACACAAGCTTCACATATCACCGAAAAAAGATTCAAAGACTGGAAACATATACAAACCTCTGTGGAGACTTTTCTAGACTCTAGTAGATCAGCTTTGTTTCCAGCAAGAGCCATAACACAGTTTGCATTACCTAAAACAACAAAAGATTTTCAGCAAACAAGGCTGAATGCCTAACTAATAATATCAAAAAACACTAGAAGCATTAGTAGGAAACTTACCCTGGGCTTGAAGTTCTTGAACCCATTTCTTTGCTCGAGTGAAAGAGGCCTGCAAACAATTTACCATATCTTTCATAGAGTGTAAAATAGCAGGTGTCAGATGTGCTTTAAAGTTGGTAAGGAATTAGCTCAATAGTCACAAGGGTTAACTGATTATTTATTCACCTCTAATGCCTCTCCAGTTACATGATTCCTTTCAAACACAAGAGTACTCAGCAAATCTTACTGAAAAGAAATATTGCAATTATCCTCAGGTTGCTAATATGTGAATCAGACACTTATGATCATCAGTCGATTGGTCTGATTCATCATTAAAAACCAAATCATTATGTAATCACTATATGCATAAGCAAAGAGTATCCAAATTCCATGGTTTTCAATCACTGACATTTTTCAAGCATAATCAGCCTAGATCATCAATTTGGATGGGCCGCACATGATCTTGAACTGCCATGTCAGAGCACAACCCCTATACTATCCACATGTCTTTGAGCCACATCTTTGTTACTTTAGTGGTTATTGCAAAAGGATAGTGGAATATCAAAATAATAAATTATTATTTTTAGTAATACGGAAGACAATAAGAGAGTAAAAGTGTACTTGCTACATGATTTGGGGATTCTACATTCTTCACAAAGAAAAGTCTGGATATATGTTGCAGAATAATTATCACTGCTGGTGTTGACAAGCACCAAATACTCGTCTCACGACTCTCACCAAGAATGAAAAATCCAATATAAATCAAGATGTTCATATATCTTGCCACTTCCATCATTTCCTAAAAGTTGTTCCTAGGCTTGTGGCCACCAAGAAAGAATAACAGCTAATGCATCAAAGATGTAATAGATTACAGGAGCTCCTGACCTACATGCCATAGAAAACTCAAAAAATGTTTGCATGACAGTGCTTTTGCTGTTAAGGGATTTTCTAACTATGTTCTTTTTTTAATGATTATCAATACACCAAGGAAGAACACACTGGAAGAAGCATACAGCAATAGTTACCAAGAGATTTTTTTTAGTAACGGTTACCAAGAGATAAACCTTAATTGCATGATTTCCATGAAAAGCAAAGCATCGGGAGAGCATGTTCCTGATTCTCGGCAGTTATATTCTATGCTCATACTAGATGAGCTACATCACCATCCTTAAGAAATCTATTCGCAATGTTTAAAAAAAAAAGCAATCTCACCAACCCTTCCTTCATAGTTGATCCTATGACTATCATAAACCATACCGTAATGCTCCATAAGCAGAGCGAATGTGATGAATCGCTTTCATGCACTTGAAAAGAAGAAAGAGATATGACACGATAAAATATGCAAAGTTACTAAAACATGGTGGATCATGTTTGGAAGGATGTGATTATCAATATAGTCGAGGCATTGAAGGGATAACAACCTTGAGGATTGAACTTAAGATAGAGACTGTTATACATCTTGTGAGGCTGTAATATTACAGATAGTGTCATGTACAAGCCGTAGAGAAAGAACAAGAGCACAAAAAATGCTGCATGAAGACTAAACCAGTGCAGGAAAAAAAAGAAATTAAGTTACAAGAACAAGAGGTAGAGGTGGAATAAGGCTCGCCAAACTCTAGCACATAATATTAGCTTGTTAAAAGCTGATAGCATATCTCCATTTACTAATCCTTTGGAAATAGAAGAGCGGATGGGCATGATATGGGTTAGGCCAGATGAAGATGATAGAAAACAGGACAGTGAGGACACAAAATTCAACTGTTCATCCTCGGCTGCTCAATGGAAAAAGAGGATAAAACATAACTGATTGTAATATATCAGGGTAGATGGTTTGACAAGAACAGAAAAGGTGATTCATAACAGGAATCTTGACAATCGATGTTATATGGAAGAGTCTGACAATCTGACCTGCTGAAATAATACTGTGGAAGAGGATGTAAGGCGTGATAGAGTATGAGATATTCATAACATGTTTCTGTTTGAGACCTTAAAAAAACTATTGAAGTGGACCAAGTGCTCAATAGATTCTAAAAGTAGCACAGTAAGAAGATGATGGCCTGAAACACAAGTGGGTAGCACAAGCAGAAAGCTAAAAACATGAGGTTTGAGCAACATGATAAATAGCTCTTCACCTTTTTCTTTTATCATGCTTATTAGCTGTTGATTGTTGGGGTGGTTGGTGTAACATTGCTGGGTTTACGTTTTCTTTTTTCCTCCTTCCCCCCCCCCCCCCCCCCCCCCCCCCCCCCCCCCCCCCCCCCCCCCCTTTTTTTTTTTTTGGTTTTTACCAAAGCATCACGAAAAGTACATGAAAAACCACCATCATAAGGTACGACAAGAAGTTGAAGGCACACTTCCTATCTAAAGGAATTCTTTCTTAACTTACTCACCTCAATCCTGCAGAAATGAAATTTCATGAAAGTTCTAACTAAATTCACAAGTCATCAACCCTAATCCTAATTACGCACTCAAGAAACACAAGGAAATATGTATCTTCTAGACTATGCCTTCATTCAAAATACAGAAAACTGACATGACTAACTATTTTCATACACTAACCAATGACCTCATATAGCTAAAATTCAAGTGTGTTCATACAACAGGACCATATGGAATTAGTATAACAATCCAAATGAAAACAATCTATCTTTCACTAACCGGGTTCGTTATATCATACACAACGATAGCTGCCGCAGCTCCCCGATAGTACATTGGAGCCAAGCTATGGTACCTCTCCTGTCCTGCTGTATCCCATATCTCAAACTTCACTGTCTCATCATTAACTGCCAACATCTGCGAAAAAAAAGCCGCACCTATCGTCGATTCCTTCACAAAACCAAAAGAAATTCTTCAAATTATAGATTGCAGGAGAAAGAAAAACTTCAGAAATTATTTTAATCACCATCGATTTCAGAATAAAACTAACCTGAAATTCAACAAATTGCCCTTTAACAAATCGAAGAACTATACTAGATTTCCCCGTTCCTACATCTCCAAGAAGAACCTGTAGCAAAAATCTGATCTTTTAGTCGCAGATAAATTTTAACGAGGTCGAATTACTATGATTAGTCTTTAAAATAGGAAGCTTTTTGAAGAAAATCGTGATAACTTGAAGAAAAAATAGGAAAACCTTCATCTTTTAAAGGAAATTACCAATTTTGCGTTCTTGATCTTGTTCGCAGAAGTCGCCATCCCTCCAATTACAAACGAATTTGTAAAATTGGGGATTTTTGAAGAAGCGGGTAGAATGGGGAGAGGTTTTAGGGCTCCGGTTTTTATATGATCGGGATCGAGTTCCGGTGCACCTGCGGTGTTCTTTAACAGATGTTAATGTGGGTACGACAAGCCCGTTCAATGGATAAAAAGGCTCGGCGTATTCGTTCGGGAGACTCGGCGGAGAGGTATAGCAGAACGGCTGGGTGGTGAAAGCGAGCGCGTGAGTCAGCGTCAGATTCCACCGGTCGTTTTGGTTGGGCGCTGAAAAAACCTCTAGAAGGTTCGGTTCGGCGCGCTTTATTTAAGAAGCGTGGTTAAATTGAGGATAAGCCCTTTGTTCTGAGGTTGCCATTTCCATAGTTTTATTTTTGCAGAAAAATCCCTCCAACATCAGTATTTGTCAAAAGATATTTTTTATTTCTCTAAGGCGCCGTTTACTTCATAGTCTTTGTAGGATTCGGAGAGTAGATGAGACTGGGGTTTAGAGGGATTGAGACTAAAAGCCCCATCCCATATTTGCTTTCCTGTTTATAGTCCTTGGACTAGAATGCCCGAAATCCCAAGCTCATTTTAGTTTACGTCGAATCCATGACTAGGCAGTTTTCAAACTTTTACATGTATTTCCAAAAAAATTCAAGGGGTTGATTTTGTACTGTTTTTTGCATTTTTCGGAGTACATTTGAAAATATCATATGACGTGAGGGTTTATTTGCAAGAACCACTTTTGTTCCTTTCATGTTTTTAACGAGCTGTTTTCATTATTTTCATATTTCTAAGAGCATTTTTTTGTAGTTTTTAGACCTTTAAGGAGATGTTTTTTTTATAAATTTTGAATTTTAAGAGTATTTTTGTAACTTTGGATTTTATGGTGTTGTTTTCTACAACAATTTAAATTGATTTGTGATTTTCACATTTTCAAGTGGCTAATGTTGAAATTTTTGTATTTTAGGGGGATTGCTTTCCAATTTCCATATTTTAAATGTTTGTTTTTGAAATTTTAGTCCGGGGCTATTTGGAAATTTTCTAATTTTAAGGGCAGTTTTATGTAATTTCATATTTTATTGGGGCTTATTTTGAAAATCTGAGAGTTTGGAGTGTTAAGATTGTATCTTTGATTCTTTGTATAACTTCATGAGAATTAGATAGGGTTAGATATCTATCATGATTAGGAGATTAGGTTTCATCATGATTAGGAGTTTGAATCTTATTCTAATCAGGAAGTAAGACTAGAGATAGGGTTTTTGTTTCCATATATATATTCTTTTATTGTTGGAGTAAAAACTAAGAAGAAGAGAGTAGAGAGAAGATATAGTAGAGAGAGTCAATATTCTTGTAATCTAGGGTTAGCAGAGGGCGTAGTCTAATTCAAGAATATTGTGCGAGAGGCGAGTGTTTCGTGATCTTTATTCGTGCAAAAGATTACAAGGAGTGAGCTTTGAAGAGAGTATGAGAGTTGATTATATATGTGAGGTTGAGAGATTGAGAGACGAGAGTTGAGTGGTTCCTCTTGTAGTTCTCCATGTGATACATAGTGAATTTCTCGTATTGTTGTCCCGTGGACATAGGTCGAAATTGGTCGACCGAACCACGTAAATCTCGGTGTTCTTTCTTCTTGAGTGTGGTCATTTTATATCTTGTTGATTGTGGGTTAGCTTCGGAGTTGCGCATATTGTAAGTAGGCGGGGAGAGTGAAATTCCCCAACAAGTGGTATATGAGCGATTGTGATGGATCCGGGAGGGAATTCGCAAGATAGAAGATGTCGTCATGCAAGATTGAAGATTGGCATTACAAGAATCAAGATGAAAAGAAAAAAAAAGGAAAAAATTACTATAGCAGCAGCATACTGTAGTCACTGAGAACTGTAGTCGGATACTGTAGCATGAACACCGTAGCGTGTGGCGGGTACTGTTCACATAGATTCAACGGTTGAGATTGATTTGTCTTTTGATCGAGGATTTGGAGGAGGATTTTGGTGGCGGGTACTGTTCACATAGATTCAACGGTTGAGATTGATTTGTCTTTTGATCGAGGATTTGGAGGAGGATTTTGGTGATCCAGGAGTCATTCCTAGGATTTTTCGATGTGCTGAGTTCGTTTTTGGTGTTAGTTATATCAAATTCAATCTCTACAGTAACTGATTTGAATTTTGATCGCGGTTAGAGAATGATGACTTCTTCGGATCCGAAGTTTGATATTTCGCTATTCATCGACAAGACAAATCTAATGGCAGATAAGGCAAATGAGTATGTGATAGATGAGAGTAGTGTAAAGAATCAGATGTGATTCTAGCAGTAGAGTTGTCAACATATAATTATTCTGAGTCATCGCGGGAGCAGTAGTTGGTTGGTGTGTAGACTTGAGGAGGACAATGCCAGATTAGATGGAGCTTGCAAGCTGGCACGACTGAGTGACACACATACAGATGGAGATGGTGGCATTAGACTTGAAGACGATGAGCGCTCATATTCAGTCCAAGCCAAGTGATAGAGGAGATAGAGACATCTGGCTCGTAGTGTGGAGTAGGAGAGGTGCACTGATATGATTCGAGACGAGCGATGCAGGTGGAGTATGAGGACAACAAGTGGGGGAAGGCTATTTTCAAGTTCAGTTCAAAAGGACAAGCGTGGTTGATATGCTTCTAATGTTAGAGGTGACGAAGATCTCTTGGTGCGCACAAGAGAGATGGAGGCACCACCGCGAAGCAGATGATATCGAGGGTCATGGGACGTCCCAGTTAGAGTGCAAGTGCTTCGATTTGAAGTGCGAAAGGAATAGAAGATGCTAGCAGGAGAGGTAAATTTTCAAGACGATGATGATATATCTTCAAGGGAGTTTGAGAATCAAATCCAAGGTAGAGATTGTTAGAATTGTGTCTTTGATTCTTTGTATAACTTCATGAGAATTAGATATGATTAGAGATCTATCATAATTAGGAGATTGGGTTTCATCCTATGTTTAGAAGTTTGAATCCTATTCTAATTAGAAAGTTAGGCTAGAGATAGAATTTTGGTTTCACTATATATATTCTTCTATTGTTTGAGAAAAAACTAAGAAGAAGAGAGTAGAGAGAAGATGTAGTAGAGAGAGAGGCAATATTCTTGTAATCCAGGGTTAGAAAGAGGGTGTAGCCTGATTCAAGAATATTGTATGAGAGGTGAGGATTTCGTAATCTTTATCCGTGCAAAAGATTACAAGGAGTGAGCTTTAGAGAGAATATGAGAGTTGATTATATATATGAGATTGAGAGATTGAGAGATTGAGAGACAAGAGTTGAGTGGTTCCTCTTGTAATTCTCCCTGATACATAGTGGATTTTTCGTATTGTTGTCTCGTGGACGTAGGTCGAAGTTGGTCGACCGAACCACGTAATCTCGGTGTTCTTTCTTCTTAATTATGGTTATTTTATATCTTGTTGATTGTGGGTTGGCTTCCGAGTTGCGGAGATCGTAGTACGTGGGGGACTAAAATTCCCCAACATGGAGGACTGATTTGTAACTTTTATATTTTTAATAGGCTATTTTTGCAGTTTCTAGAATTTGCAGGTTGATTGGTGATTTCCATGTTTTTATGGGGACACTTTTTAAGCGACTTTCAGACTTATGGGGACTGATTTGTAATTCTATGATTTTATGAACTGGTTTTGCTGTTTTCAGATTCTAAAAAGTGATTTACAATTTTAAAATTTTTGAAAGATGTGTTTTAAAATTTTTTGCTTTTCGGGTGGCGCTTTGCAATTTCCATTGTTTAAAGGGCCTATTTTTGTAATTTGTAGATCTTATGGGGGTCATTGTTTTGCAATTTTTCAAATTGTTGATATGTTATTTTTACATTTTTTATTTTATGGTGCTGATTTAAAATTTTCAAAAATTTGGGGCTCATTTATATTTTTTAGATTGTTAATGGCTGTTTTTTGCAATTTCCAAAATTTAGGAGTTCACATATTTAAAGGGCATGTTTTTGCAGTTTTTAGACTGTAAGGACTAAATTGTAGATTATAAATTTGAAGTCCAGTTGTACTTGAACATTATCACAGGCAAAACTTTATTATGAGTCCTTAATGTTTTAGCCAACTTTTATTTGAATCTTTAAACTTTAGAAGTTATTAAAAGAGGTCCTTAATATTTACTCTGTCGTCAACAAAAGTCATTTTCGAATTTTTCCACTAGCAATTGATGATGTAGCAAAATTATTCTTGTGTTATTTTCTTTTTTCTTTGCTAACTGGGCACCGACTAGATCCCTCAAATTTTTAAAATTATGAATAACCTCTTGAAAGTCTGGAACAATATAATCAATTGGTTATCAAAATTTTTTAAAAATTACAAACAATCCCCGAAAAGTTTCACCATTGATAAACTTTTTGTTCCAACGTCCAATTGTGAGCAGACCCATGTAGTTTTATTGTTGCGAATAGACCCTAACTAAAATTGCTATGATTCTTTTACCTCTAGGGGAGTCTATTTCTTAGAAGGTAAAAGAGTCAAACTTTTCAAAAGGGATCTATGTGCAACAGCAGAACTACACGGTGTGCCTCTACAATTAGGGAATAGTACATGGGCTCTATCCAAAATTAACCCTAAACAAGATAATCAACTCATAGACGTAAACTTCTCCACTCAGGGCCGAAAACAAAGACATACGATTGAAACCTTAAGCATCATCTGTTATATCACAAAAATGGCTAAGTGTCGATCCTCCACCAGGAGCCGACACATGCCCCATATTAACTAAACAGCAGATTGACCTCGCTATATGCAGAACGATTCGAGTGACATCAACACTTGACTCTTCCCTTCCCAAGAGGGACCGAGTCGAAAGGCGTCATCACCTGAATCCCGCTGTTAGGGTCGACCCCGCGCCTCTTCATTCAACGAGACCTAGTTGAGAACTTCTGAGTCCAAGATGGCCAAATAAAAAGGTGTCACTTACTAGCTCTCTTGTAAGGTTGAGAAGAGAGGCGGGTTGTCCTCAAATTCCCCGCTAATAGTCAATCACCATCACATTAAATGTATGGTTAGAATCATCATTACTCTAGCCCTGAAAGTCTTTATGACTCCTCGAACCCCGTCATCGCCATGCTTCCCTTGTCACCATCATAATAATCGCATAGCTAACTCATCCCATATGCAGCTGACACGTGTAAAGTATCTGCCTACTATGTTGTCCGCATGGACTAGGGCAAAGTTACACATTTGCTCCCCAGGGTCTGCTATAAATAGAGGTATTGTCCATTGCATAAGGGTAAGCAATATCTTGCAAATAAACATACTGCAATCTTACTTTTTTTTCTCCACTCAAGCTCACTACTGACTTGATCGTCGAAGGAACCATCGAAGATCCCAACTCTGATCCTCTTACATGTTATTTGTGTACAGAACTGAATCTGTTACTCCATAACCAATCATCGAAGAAGATTGAGGGGACCTAACACACAAAATACAAACTAAATTTTCCTATTCGATCATTGACACCAAAATTACCTGATATAAGCTATGATTTAAGGTTTAGCTCAGTAACTTTTGAGTATTGAGTAACCAAAACAAGATGGCAAGAAAATTTTATTAACTAGAGAAAATAGGAGAAATTTTTAAAATAGACCCATTTATAAGTTTATTCACCAAAATCGACCATTTCAAACATATTCACGAAAATAGACCCAGTTTTAACCAGGTCTACAGATTTCTTTCTAATTAGACGGGATTGCTAACCCCGACTAATTAGTAACCACGTTAATTAACCTTCTAAATAGTCGAGGTTGTTAACCGTGACTATTTCAAACTGCAGTTTCAGGCCCCCACTATTAATCCATGTAATTAACTATCGTGGGTTTATTGGAGTCCATGTTTAAGAAAAGCACCGGCTTACGAATCCCAACCGACAAAGAGTAGGGTACGGAACCCGATGAAGCATAGATAAAATTCAACAATTTTTGGATAATTTGCTCTTTAAAAAAATAATCCCAATGAATGATAGACAAAATTCAACATTTTCTTCAAATTTTGAAGAATTTGCTCTGTAGAAAAAACAATTCCATTGCCGGGATTTGAACCCGGGTCGCCTGGGTGAAAGCCAGGTATCCTAACCGGACTAGACGACAATGGATTTGTGATGGTGCATGTATGGTACCAATAATAGTTTCTATTGAAGTTTCGTTCCTCAAGCAATTTTTCTTATACAATAATAGTTTCAAATTGCAGTCTTCCTTTTCAGCCGTAGACTTAGATATCTACCTTACTACTTGATGTAATAATTTCATTTGAGACTTTTCATAATAATTTTTTTTTGGAATTATCTATGTATTTTTTAGTGGGTTAATTGTGACCTCTGTAGCATCACTGAATTGTGAATAGATTTTCTGTAGTTTTATTTTTGTGAGCAGATCTCCTGCGTGAAAATTCCTTTGACTCTTAAAATTTGTTAAAAGAGTTTGAGGACGCAAGTAGATCCCTTATAGTTTTACTGGTGATGATAGACACCAATTGATAATTTTGAAAATCGCTAATGTGATGTATTAATTAGCACTTCGGCCAACACTAAAAGGGGTCTATTCGCAATTGAGGTCTATTATTTGAGAACTTTCTATTTTTTTGTTGTTTTTATGAAGGCACGTCTTCTTAGGTCCACATTAATCTTTTACGTAAATTTATAGAAAATTCCTTGTTCCCGTCTTCCACAGGAGAGAGTACCGAGCGAACGGGTCGACCCTAAACCCGACCCGACCCGCTCCGCTCCGTTAACCCTTACTCTCCTCGACAGCCTTATAATAATAACAAACCAAAGCACCGGCGTTGTTTCTTGAAGCCCAAGCCAGCGGGCCCCACCTCTCTTCGGGCAACTTCTATAAAAATCGCTGCTCGAAGCCAATTTCTCAAATAAATAAACCCTGATAAAAAGAGGAAATCAATCGATTTTACTTCAGGTATTCTCTCTTTCTTTTTGCCTTGTATCAATTTTTTATTATTATAGTTTTTAACCCGTCAATTGAACGAAACTGGAATGAAATTTCTTGGATGTTTGTGATGGACGTGTTCGAATGAATCAAACAAAACAGATGTAATTGGATATAAATTATGAACCCCTTGGGTTCTGCATCAATGTAGATAACTATTGATGTAGTTGACAAATTGGTTCCTGACCGTTGTTGGGTTTTTTGGAATCGAGCATCTTGCGCTGGGAAATTGCCGCTGCATGATCTTCTTGCGGTAGTAGTTAATTTGCATTGGGAGTGTTCAATTCCAACATTTCTCTGTAAATTCTGTTGATATAGGAAAACCCTTCAAAACCCTTCAAAAATTGGGATGAGGCAGATCAGGCCTACTGTTTTCATATGGTTCTCTCTTTTAAATAATATATAATTTATCACACGAACAATTTTTCAAAACAGCCCCATTTCATTTTTTTTATTTTTAAAATCGACCCATTTTTTTTATTTACCAAAACCGACCCTTTTTTTTTTGCCACGTCAGCCTAATCACCCTCCTAAACAGTCGGGTTGCCAACCCCGACTGTTTAGGACATAAAATTTTAGGGTTTAAGGCTTCTAATTGGGGTTTAACACCCTCCTAAATAGTCGGGGTTGGCAACCCCGACTGTTTAGGAGGGTGATTAGGTTGACGTGGCAAAAAACGGGTTGGTTTTGGTAAATAAAAAAAATGGGTCGATTTTAAAAATAAAAAAAATGAAATGGGACTGTTTTGAAAAATTACCTCAGTAGGCAGATGTTGTACTAGCAAATCCTTTTATTAAAATTGAAATTTCAATTTTTTTTTCATGTCTGCAGATAGGTATTTGCAGATCAATTTTCAGTTGGTTGTTCTACGAGTTTTTGAGCTTCTTCGATGGTAATTACTACTATCTTTTGCTCTTCTATCTTAATATGTTCAATTTGATAGATTTGCTTGTTATGCTCAGAGTGTCAGAGTATCTCGTCAATTATCCTGTTTCAGATTTCTGTTGGCTGTGGTGGTATCACATTTCTTCAAGCTGAATGTGTTTGTGCAGTTATGGTTTTCAATTCATAGACTGATGATATTATTGTTAATGTCAATTATTGGTAGGAACTGATGATGCGTCATTAGGTTGTATTGTTTGACTAAACAGAAACGAAAAATTGCATATTTTCTAATAGCAACCTTTTTGGTTTTAACACAACTTTCTAAGATGACTGTGACAACAAATTGAAGAATTATTGGCAAGAACTCAGGTTACAGATTTGATAATGTACCAAGAACATGCTAACCTGTAGCACAAACCAGTACTTTTCATGATTTTTCGAAAAATTTTGGCTTCCATTTTGGATTTAGCCTGATATACCAGTCAGGTCTGGTTTTTGACAAACCACCTTCATCTATGCTTATGTTTGCTCTAATTGATATGATAAAACATTAAAAAAGTCATATAAATATCAGAAGCCACCTATTGCATTACAAAGAAATTTACCATCGGTCAGTTTAATTTAGTGATTGTGGGTTCAACAATCGGATAGGCTCTAGGAAAACGCCTCCTAGAATCTTTTCCTGTAATTTTGCGACACTTGAATTGCGAGTCACTGACATGCATTTTCCCCCCTGTATGGCGTTTGTGCTAAGGTTTTGATTTTCGTTCATGCAACTTCTAGAATTTTGCTTCTGCCTTCTTCTCCGATTAGATGTTGTGCTTGAAATAGTATGGAAAAAATTTATTGTTTTATCTGAAAGTATCATGATTGGCAAAAAAATTCCCCTTTCTATGTACAGACGACTCCACTAGTTACAGGCCTCTCAGTTGCAGCAGCTGCCTTAGGTGGTAGATTCATGATTCAGGCATGGCAAGCATTTAAAGCTCGTCCAGTTGTTCCCCGGATGCGAAAATTTTATCCTGGAGGGTTTGAGCGGGAAATGACAAGAAGAGAAGCTGCATTGATTCTTGGAGTTAGGTATGCATGTTTTAATATATGATTCTTAAGCGTAACCTTGCAATAGGGCAACGTCTGATTCTCAGGATAATTACTGCATACGTCACTTTTTTAAGGAAAATTACTGCGTAAGTTACGTGACTAGCCTCTTAGTTTTTTTCATGGTAGGGCTATCTTTTGCCATGGATTGACTAGGAATTGCAATTCTTTATCTAATGTTTCACAGTGATACAGAGTGTAATCTCCAATCGCTTGAAGCTTGCTTTCTTGTTGAATGCTTGGGTGTATGTGTCCATGGAATGTCGGAGGATCTGTTTTTGTTTAGTAATGGCATGGCGATCATTCTCAATGAATATAAATCAACCCATCAATTGTTATATTCGTGGGCAAAGATCCTCTACATCCGTGGTTGTAGAGAACTGGTTATGTGGACTAATACTATTGCCTCATTCAGTGGGCCACATAATTAAAATAACTTTGTATATAATTTATATAATGAATATCATTCACGGGGTCCACTAAGTGTGAGGAGTTGGGACCGGTGAGTTGTAGAGATTCTCTGCAACAAAGGATGTAGAGGTGCTTACTCCCATATACGTTGGATAGTTGCGGCCTTTGCTTTATATTATTCCTTTAGAAGGAGATTATAGGATTAACCCCTCCTCTCTCTCTTCAATTAAGAAGATGGACAGAGATCTGATCTACTACAAAAGGTTTCCATACTTAATCCACTGTAGTTCTCCAAAGACTCCAAACTATCACCGAGATTTTCCTTCTTGCCATTAAGTTCAGATCTTCGCTAACTTGTTCGGATGCTATATGAGATGTCCATCTCTAATGTTTATTTTGTTTGGGTGTTGTTTCAGAGAGCATGCAGCTATAGAAAAGATTAGAGAGGCTCACAGGAGAGTGATGGTTGCTAACCACCCTGACAGCGGTGGAAGTCATTACCTTGCTTCCAAGGTCAATCAGGCAAAAGATTTATTGACCGGCAAGTTGAAAGGTGGCTCCTCTGTGTTTTAGGAGCGGCGACAAAATGGCATCATACTGCTGACTATTTTGATTCATTTGAAACCGGAGAACTGGTACGAGTAATTTCAGATATTATACAAGACTGATTTTATTAATTCTTATTACAGAATCTGCAACTTTGTAATCCGCAAGTCGCTTATTTTTGTAATATCTGGCAATCTCATATAGAATGTAAAGCCGCAAGTCGCTTATTTTGTAATATATCTGGCAATCTCATTCAATAATCTGCAACTTTTATGACTATTGGCTTTTGGTCTGTAATATCGATGTTGCTTAAAAATCTGTTGTTCCGCTGGCTGCGGCTAACGTAGAGAAAAGGGTTGGCATCTCCTTTTCTGTTCTCCTGTTGTGTGCAAGTATCAAATAGCATTAGATCTGTGTACGGTTTTTCTAGATTTGGATGCGGTGTCAACTATGTCCAAAACACAAAGTGCATATAAATGTCGTAACCGTCGTCGTTTCGTTTGCGTTCTTCTATCTGATTAAGCTTTGCCAAAAGGCTCTTGGCGTCTATGGTTAACATATCAGGTATATTCCCATATTTCATCGGATCCTGGATGTGATTTTGATTCTGAAGGATGGAGCATGTGTGGCATTGATTATATAGGATTCAGCTAAATATGTGCAATTTCAATTAGATTACATACTTTCAAGAGCTCATGTACATTCTCTTAGTCAATTAAGCTATGTCCAATCTCCTTCTTCAACCCCTTCCTCTCCATTTCTCCCCTCACCTCCTTTGCCTTCTCCCACTCGCCTACATCCCCATACAAATTCCCCAACATAACATACCTTCCTCCATCAAACGGCTCCTTATCAATCAACCTCCTCCCAACCCTCTCACCGACCTCGACATCTTTATGCACTCGACACGCAGACATCAATGCCCCCCACTGCGGCGCCTCAGCCTCCATCGGCATACTCAGCAACACCTCCTCTGCCTCCCTCAGCCTCCCCGCCCGACCCAAGAGGTCAGCTATGCACCCATAATGCTCTCTGTGAGGCTCAATCCCTTGATTCTTCATGGACTCAAATATCTCAATTCCTTCGTCGACCACTCCAGCGTGAGTGCACGCGCACAATAAAGCTATGTATGTCGACTTAGTTGGAACCAGAGTCGGATGCTCGTGCTTCATTCTCTTGAAGAGATTAAGCGCGCTCCGGCTATCGCCGTGCATTGCAAGTCCGCTAATCATAGCATTCCATAGCACGATATCGCCAATTTCGACTGCCTCAAACAATTTGACCGCCTCATTGATACATCCACATTTGCAGTACATATCTATAATAGCCGTTTTTAGAATCACATTTCCTTTCTTTCCAAAATCACACTGATCCGTGTATAAATGTATTGATTTTCCTTGGTCGAGCTCACCCAAATGCGCGCACGCCTTTAGTACGCTCACCAACATAACCTCATCGGGCTCTACTCCTTCGGTTTTAAACCGATTCCAAACCCTCAACGCTGCGGTGAAATCTCCTTTCCTGGCGTACCCATCAACCAAAGCGCTCCAAGAAACCAAGTTTCTCTTCGGCATCCTATCGAACAACTCCCGTGCAATCTCCATATCCCCGTTCTTCCCGTAAGCCGAGATCAAAGTATTCCACGATACCAAATCTAGCGAAAAACTCCTCTTTAACAAAACCCGGGCATCCTCTAAAACCCCCAAACTGCAGTACATTCTCAAGAGGGAGTTCTTGATCACAATCAAGTCCTCAGCTCCACATTTCAGCACTTGCCCATGAGCCAACCTCCCCGGTTGAATCCTACCATGGATACAGGATTTCACCAAAAGGGCGAAAGTGTAATTGTTCGGCGGGGCCCCGCTGGCCCGCAACTTGAAGTAGAGCTCGATGGTGGCGTCTGGCAAGTTGAGGCCTATGTGGGCAGAGATTAACAGGTTCCAGGTGTAGACGTCGGGGTTTTCGAGGGAGTGAAAGATTCTAAGGGTGTAGTTGAGGCTGTTGGGGGTTTGGAGGAAGAATTGGACGATTCGGCTAGCGGCGAAGGGGTCGGAGATGAGGCCGGAGGTGATTGAATGAGCGTGGAGGGATTTGAGGCAGCATGGGTGATTGTGGGTTTGGGCCTGCTGGATGAGGGAGAGGATGGGGTGGTTTGGGATGAATTTGGAGCTAGGGTTTGTGGAGAAAGAGGAAGAAGAGGATGGTTTGGGTTTGAGGAGCTGCAAGAATTTGTTGATGGGGGGAGATTTCATGGGGTTTGGGGGGAAATTTTGGGGAGAGGAGATGCAGGGGTTTGTATTTTTGTACGCTGTGGTTAAGAGTTTTTTAAAATTTTGAATGGCGGAGGGAAAGGGTCTAGGGTGTTAGTTGTATGTTTTCGAAATGGAATTAAAAAAAAAAAAGACCATTTCTAAAATTTTATTAGCAAAATTAACCTTTTGTGAATTTAATTGGCAAAATCAACCTGTTTTGTTGATTTTGTAAAATATTATTTTTAAAATACACGAGACTAGTAATCCCATATAATTAGTGTTGGCTAATCACATGCTAATTGAACTTTAAAAAATACATGAGTCTAATTAAACTTTATTGGGGTGTTATTAGGCGCCACTAAGTACACAGGACTAGTAGTCTCGTATATTTTAAAGCTTCATTTTTATAAAATCGACCTTCTTTTAACCAACTGGCCAAAAAAAATATTAATTATATAAAAAATAGGTCAGTTTTGCTAATAAAGTTTCGAAAAGGTTTTTGTTAAAAATTTCCCAAATTATAAGTTGCTAATATTTTTGTTCGGAGAGAAATTACAAGTTAAATGAAGTAGGCAAATTTTGCATCCTACCCTCTCCTCTTGTAATTTAAACAACTCAAGAAGACTTATGAATGTTTTTAAGCATATAAATATGAAAATTTGAGATTAATATCGAAAAATAAGCAAATCCTGTACTACACATAAAACCATGCACAGGGGCAGGAGGAATATTTAAGAAGACACAGCACATGCTGATCACATTATCGTCAAATACTGAAAATTCTTTCTTACTACCTTTTTCTAATCGCCATACAACCAAGAGAACAAATTTCACGAAACATAATCATAGTACATTTATTGGCTTCTGCAGTTTTCTTTTATCCAATCTACTACTTGTTTTCTCAACTGATGCCAAAAAAAAAAAATTAATAACCACACTACTACACCTGCTTACTGATGAGTACATCAAATAATACATTATCATAATTCTTAATACATTCAGCATCAGCTGATCATTAACAAATTAAGAGGAACGATGCAAATGGAGTGGAATTCTAGAAAATGGTAGCAGCCTTTTGCCAAGTGGGATTTAAATCTCTCTTATTTCCTCAAGACTGATCATGATGAAGGATCCCAATGGCTCCGTATCCTCTAAATTTTAGATCTGCCAGGCGAAAAACCAAATATAAATCAGACCTCTATCCTGCATAAGTACATACAAACAAACAACCAGAAACTCTGAGAAATTGTAAATAGACGAAATGAAAGTGAAGCGGAAGATATACACCTCAAATTGCCAAATACCAGCCACAATCTTGATTTTAACTCTTAACAGTACATGCAGAAATCCACTCTTTTGAGTTTTGATCATCTTCAAATGTCACTGCTCGCAGCTGAGGCTCCACCGTGGAATGATATGAACATTAACTTGCTCTACCAACATATAAGACCACCATGTGTCCATGACCAACATTACATACTAAAATCTAATTTTATTGGAAAGAAAACTAAGAAGAATCCAAAACTCTATGTAGATGATAATAATCTGTTATATCTGTAGACCTATCTAAGCAACACCTTCCTCTTACAGAGCCTACTCTTTCTCCAAATGTATTTTCCACGCGACTAGAAGCAGTAATGCTAAACTCTAGTTTTATTGGGAAGCAATATTAGAAAGACTTAATTACTCTTCACACGTTATAATATGTTATATTAATAGATCGATCTAAGCAACTTCTTCCTCTTACAGAGTCAGAGGGTCTACCCTGTCACCAAATTCATTCTGGCACAGGAGTAGAAAAATAACAGAAGCCAAAATGACAGAATTATCCGCAATAGTTGAACCAGATAGATTGCACTCTGGCAATAGTAAAGTACAATGACTGAGTGTAGTAAAGTTCACATCATATGAGCCCATTCTCCATCAAAATTACAATCCTCTGGAACTTGCAATCATCTTCACCAAAGAAGCTTGATTCCTCTTTCCAATGAATCATTCCTTCATACTTACCTTGGATTCAACTTCCCCTAGAATCACCTCAATCATTATTCTTAGGGCCCGTTTGGTTCAAGTTTTTTATCTTGGGTCTTGGGCAGAAAGCCTGCCAAAAGTGCCTTTTTACCTTGGGTCTTGGGCAGAAAGCCTGCCAAAAGTGCATTTTTACCTTGGGTCTTGGGCAGAAAGCTTGCCAAAAGGGCACTTTTGGCAGGCTTTCTGCCCAAGACCCAAGGTAAAAAACTTGAACCAAACGGACCCTTAGCCATAGGTGAGAGGATCAAGGACATGATAGGTTAGTAGCAAGCTATCCATCCCATTCTCAAGTTTTCTATAACAAGTCAAATACGTATTCTAATCCGAGCAAAACTGAACATGTTGCTGCTTTCATTCAAGAGGTTAACTACACGATTGAAGGATATAACCACTGCATCAGCATGCAAATATTTTGAGGTGAATGCTAATCTTATTAGCATTAAAATTAATGCTCTTTTAGTTTCAGGCACATGTTGCATGCATTGGAACAGAAAGCAAATATCCCTAAACAGTCTTTTTTTTCAATCATTTTTCCCTCCTTTGTTTTCAACATGCGGCTATTGGTAATCAATGAAACTCAGTCATATATAGACTCTATCTCAAAAGCTACCATAACCACACATAACATAAACGTAAAAAGGCAAGAAAAAGGATTAAGATATAACTTACCTCACAGAGTTGCTGCAGAAAATGTCAAGACCTGAAGCTCTATGCCAATGACAAATTAATATGCTTGTTGTAGGCAGTTTCATTATTCTAATAATTCATAAAAAACATAGGTGATAAAAATTGTTGCTACATGTACTTCACATGGTCTTGCGGAAGAAAAAAAAAGATTTATCTAGAAATGCATGATCTGAACAGACATAAAACAAAAGAGTTTAATGCCATCTAATGTTCATCTAAATCTACAATAATCAACGAATATGGAATTGATTATGCTTCAAATGCCTAGAACCCATTCAAGCTTCCTCCTCTCAAGTTTAAAAATAAATACTAATTCGACAAGAAAAATAGAAATTTTGAAAACAATTAGAGTATGGAGAATGAAAAGGTGAAAAAAGGGTTAAAAGATAAATTTTGGAAAAACAAAAATCAGCCTTCAGAGCGGCACTCAGATTACCGCATAAAGATCATCATGAGGCCAAGCTAGGTTGAAGACGACGAGAGGAAAAGAGAGCTCGAGCAGCAGAATCTTCAGGATCTTAGAATCTTTCAGATTGAAATCTAAATAAATTCTGCATCACAGTCAATACCTGTTTCAGAGATCAAAATCATCGCTTCCGATTTATCTTCGTTTCCACTTGTGACCATTGATCCCAATTCATATGCCGCTTCAAGAGCTCTCACTTGATTAGTTTGCTCCCATTTCGTCACCCTCTTCCTAGCATTTGGGAAGGGCCGGTAACTTGGCCAAAGTTCTTGAGGGTTTAGTGAAATTTACCCTTAAAGTGTGATAGAATTAAATCTGAGGGACTAAACAGCAAATTCAATGATTTGAGGGACTAATTTGAAAATATTATACAACCAAGGATCAAGGTGATCTCCAAGCACAACAATTGGTCTTCAGAGTGATACTCAGATTACCACATAAAAATCATCGCTAGGCCGAGCTAGGTTGAAGATGACAAGAGGCCAAACAATCCAATCAAAAAGAAAGCTCGGGCAGCAGAATCTTCAGGATCTTAGAATCATTCAGATTGAAAACTAAACAGAAACTGCATCATAGCCAATATTTATTTCAGAGATCAAAATCTTCACTGTGGGGTCTGTCTTAATTTCCACATATGATCGTTGATCCCAATTCATCTGCCGCTTCAAGAGCTCTCGGTGGGGGTGCATTCGGTCCGGATATGGTTCGGATATGATGCCTACCATATCCATATCCGCTTACTCATCTCGGACACGGTTACGGATACAGATATACCTCGGTAAGGAAAATTCATATCCATATCCGCTAAAATCGCATACGGTTACGGATATACATGCGGATATATAAGCGGATATGTATGCAGATACAAAACGGATATGAGAAAGGATATACATGCGGATATATAAGCGGATATGTATGCAGATACAAAACGGATATGAGAAAGCTAGATAGTATTGAGAAAAACATAGTTCATGTGACAGATACAAAACGGATATGAGAAAGCTAGATAGTATTGAGAAAAACATAGTTCATGTGATACAAAAGAGTCCAAATAGAAATAAACCTCTAATATGATTGGTTGTGCAAAGTCTAATGTGAGTAGGACTCTTGATCAAAACAAACCAACCTAAAAAGGAACTCCTAAAGCACTATGGATTTGACTATTTGAGGCAACCTATAACCCAATTGATGACATTTCAATACTATAACTGATCTTGGGACTAGATAGCAATTTCAATGATCTGGGGGACTAATTTCAAAATATAAAACAAGACCCAAATGGGTTGAAGACAACAAAACAGCAGCAAACAGTCAAAAAGAGAGCTCAAGCAGCAGAAATTTCATGACCTTGAATCATTCAGATTGAAAACTAACAAACACAGCATCATAGCCTTGAATATTTCAGAGTTGGCTCACATGGAGAGCGCTCACTTTGCATGCGAGAGGTTCAGGTTCAGGTACCCCACATCTCCAAGAAAAACAAAAATTTCACCATTCATCCACATCTTCAAGAGCTCTCGTTCATCCACCTCTTCAAGAGCTCTCGTTCATCCTACATTTGGAACTAATTTCGAAATATCTAAAGATTTAGGGACCAAATTGCAAGAGCCCTTAAAATTTGATGGAAGTATGCCAATTTCAAAGACGGAATCATTGAAATTTTAAGGGATCAATAATTCAATATAGGGGTCCAAACGGTTCCAATACGGTTCAAATACGACTTAGATATGATACTTACCATATCACCATCCAATACCAATCACAGATATGGAAAACCTCTTATCCATACATATGGTGTATACATGGATATACATGCAGATGCAAAACGAGGAAACAACATAAGGTTGAAAAAATTATAGTCCATATGATATAAAAGAGTTCATTAACACATTCATTAAACCTAATAAGATTAGATCTTTTGGTTATCAAAATTAACCTCAAAATTGTATGATCAACATATGCTCAAATATTTCAGATATGGATTTAGATAATTTCGCTACATATTTGTATCCGTAATTGTATTCTTCTAGTTTAATTTGAGGATACGGATATCATTTGGCACCCTTAGAACAGTATCGAAAATATCCAAATTAAATTTGGAGAAAAGCAAATTAGCCTTCAGGACGGCACTAAGATTAGGGGTTGTTTGGATGCCTTTAGGTACCGTTTGGCAAAAGGGTAAGTGAGGGGTTAAGGAGACTTAACCCCTTCTTAACCTGCCAAACACAACAAATCTATATAAGGGTTAAAGTGAGTTAACCCTCCATAATTTGCCAAACATAAAAAATATAGAAGGGTTAAGTTAACCCCTCTAGAGGGGTTAAAATGAGTTAACCCCTCAAAATGAGGGGTTTACTAATACTCTTATTTAGATGGAATAAGAGTTAACCCTTCTAATTATAAAGAAAATAGTCAAAATCATTGTTATTCCCAAACACTAAAACTGATCATAAGGGCTAAAATAAAACTTATTTAACGGGTTAATAATTTAACCCTTCAGATTATCAAATGGGCTAAGTACATTAATCCTTCTCTTTAACCCCTCTTCATTAACCCTTTGCCAAACGGGGCCTTAGAGAACTAGAGTATTTATGACATAAAATAAAAAATGGTTATCCAGCTCACCACTTTCCATTCGAGTGTTTACATTGTTTGGTTAGGAATCTTTGTGAATCCTAAAATAATAGTATTACATTGTTTGGATAGTATAATGTAAACTAGAGTATTTATGACACAAAATGGAAAATGATTATCCACCTTATCACTTTCTACAAGGTTTTAACTTTTTTATTATTTTTTGGACAAATTTATGCCATTGTGTCAGCTTTCCAACAAAATCACTCCTAATTTGCGTGATTTTGCTTTCGGTAACACCTCATCAAAAGGTGTAAGCTTTTCATGTAAAAGAGAATTTAAACAAACAATGTAAAGTGATGAAAGCTAACATTGGGACCCATTTTTTTACACTTTACATCCTTTTACATGGTAAAAACATACAACCAAACAGCCCCTTACCGCATAAATATGATCACGAGGCCGAGCTAGGCTGAAGACGACGAGGGGACAAGCAACCAGAAAGAGAGCTCGAGCAGCATAAACTTCAGGATATCGAATCATTCAGATTGAAAACTAACAAAAACTGCATCATAGCCGCACATATTTCAGCGACTGAATCTTCGCTTGGGGATTGTTTTCATTTCCACACGCGATTCTTTTGATCCCAATTCATCCACCGCTTCGAGAGCTCTCTCACATCTGTTGCTCCCCTCTCGCTGTTTCAACCCAGCGCCTGAGAAAAACCAGGGTCAGTAACTCCGCATTTACATGTTTTCTTTTTCTTTTTCTTTTTTTTCTTTTCCCCCCCATTTTTTATAGACTGCATGGCACTTAAATACCCTACAGTTTCACCACCTTTGCACTTAAATACCACAAAAGTCATCAGCGGACCAAGCTAAGATGACGACGACTAAGACGACAAACAATCCAATAAACAAGAGAGCTCGAGCAGCAAAATCCTGAGGATCTTTAGAACCATTCAGGCAAATACTTGATTCAGAAACCAAGATCTTCGCCTTCATGCGATCCTTGAGACCCCGAGTCATCCGCCACTTCAAGAGCTCTCCGTTCGATTACCCGGGAGGGGTTTGCTGAAATTAAACCTTAAATCAGGACACAAAATAGCAAATTCAATGATTTGAGGGACAAATTTTTTTCAAAGTATTACACAATCTGAGAACGCAGAGGGTCTCAGATCACGAAAAGTTAGGCTTCAGAGCGGCACTCAGATCACCGCGCAGATCCATCACGAGGCCGAGCTAGGTTGAAGACGACGAGAGAGAGAGGGAGAGAGAGAGAGCTCGAGCAGCGGAGTCTCGAGAGGATCTCGAATCATTCAGATTGAAAACTAACAAAAACTGCATCATCAGCCGTAATTATTTCAGCGATTGGATCTTCGCTTGGGGTTTGTTTCCGCTTCCACATGCGATTCTTTTGACCCCAACTCATCCGCCGCTTCAAGAGCTCTCCTCTCCTCTCTCCCCCTGCTTTGTTGCTGCTGCCGCCGCCCCTTTCGCCGCTTTCAACCCAGCGACTGGGAAATCTAGGGCTAGTTCGCTTGGTATTTATAGGGGCTTCTTTGGCTACGAACCACTGAGACGAATTCATATTTTGCGAGTTTAGTCACTACATTTAGATATTTGCTAATTGACCCCCTCATTCCACTTTCTCTTCGTTGAAGTTACAATTGGAGCTTAAGAAACACTAGAGGCACACCCTTGGACACAATCCCAACCACACCCCCTCACCTGCTACAGTGCAGTGGGGCCTCACATGAGATTTTTCCTCTTTATAGTTTCAATGTGGTTATTTTGTGAGTCTACAGTCAAATATTTAAAGACTAATGATGTACCAGTGTTTTTTATATTTCCTCATGAGTTTTCATCAGTTTATCTCCTTTTTTTCCCAAACTAAAAAAGATACTTTTTAATCACTTTCTCCCAAAACTTTTTACTCTTTAACCCTTTTTATGAATTAAAAAAAATTATTTTTTAGATTACAAAAAATACAATAAATGAAAAGAAAACACTAACAGCTCATTAATCTGTTGAATATTTAACCGTACGCTCACAAAATAACCACATTGAGCACATACACATAGTTTAAAGGGGAAAATAGGCAAATTGATACTTTAGAAGGCAACTTGAGAGTTCACCAATAATTTAAGGGGAAATTGTTATTTTGTCCTAAATTACAACAATTTTGAATTAATCAAACCCGCTTATTCATGGGTACGAGAATAAAAAGAGTATGAATAATAACATCTAGTTCGTTTATTAAGCGGATGAAATATGAGTTTGATTTATGTGGATTGAGTTTGGGTCTTAGTTACAAGAATTTGAACGCGTGTAAAAGATCATTTATTTGGATCCTTCTTATGAATCTCATTCACAATCATTCAATAGTATTGAGAATGAGAGAATGACAAAGAATACTCGTATGAAAAATACACAAAGCGTTTTCCTTCATAGAAGCGTTCTTTTTCCTTTCTTCTTTTTTTTTTTTTTTTTTCTCTTGTTCTTAATAAAATCAAACACAATTTTTTCCTTTTTTTTTTTTTTTTTTTTTTTTTTCTCTTGTTCTTAATAAAATCAAACACAATATTGTCTAACTATGGGTTAACAGCAAATTCGTGCATCTAAGGCCAGACAACAGACTGTTGCAGTAAATATAATGCAGCTTTTCCTTTGTTCTCATTTAATCAGCATTACGCTCTTTGAGCATCTAGCAAAACAATAACCATGATTCTGCTGCCTCTGCTTCTTTTAGGGCTTGTTTGGATTGAGGGGAATAAGGGAGAAGGGAAGTTAGGGGAACCATTCATCTTGTTTGGGAACATTTAGGAGGTGAAGTTATTCACCCTAGTTCCCCTTGGTTCACTCCCTAATAGTATAAAATTTGTTACCCCCCAAATTAGGGTGTAAGAGCATCTCCAACAGTTTTCCCAAAAAAAATTTCAAAATAGAGAAGCAAAAGTCATATTCTCCAAATTATTTTTGCTCTAACACCAATAGCTTCTCCATTTTGAAGAATCCTGTATTTATTACAATAATAAAAATATTCTACATTTCTATTTTTTGGATGCTCTTATGCATTAGAACTACCCCCATGGGTTTTTTTGTAATTACGGATTTTGTTTTATATTTATTTTCTCCACCATCCGGTCTTGAAGAACGTGCTGCATTCATGACCAAGCTTTCCCCAAATATTTGAAGAATGCCCCAGATTTGGGGAAGACTCCATTTTTTCCTCCTCCGTCCCTATTTTGGGAAATGGGATGGGGAATCTGTTGGACCAAAAAAAAGCCCAAAATTCTCCAAAAGTGAGAATACCAATAAAATGGGGAAGCTGTTGGAGATGTTCTAACCAAGGGGAAGGAAACTCAATTCCCTTCACTTCTCTTCTCTCACCTAGTTTTCCTTAACTTAACCCCATTGAAATCCAAACACGTCCTTAGTTTTAGTTCTTCGGAGAGAAGATCCGTGGAGTTCTTCTCCATCGCTTCCCTCACCTCTTGGTCACGCTTTCAACAGTCTTTAACAGAATAGTATATATAGTGTGAGGAACATTGAGATCGATGATGCAGATAACAATTTGGATAATGTTAAAAGTTTTATCCAGCAAATAGTACTCAAAACTTCATTCCTTTTGGTCAAGTTTATAATGTACATACACGCATGAGTCACAAGGCCAGCAAAATTTTAGAGCCGCTTTTCAAGTTTTAAGTACGTCATGATTATGGATTTCGATCATCAATAATCGTAATGCGCAAGTGATCAACGCTGGCTTTAGTTGCTGCTACGCACGTACCATTCCAAGCTCATGTGATGATGCTAGTCCATGATAAAATACAGAAATGAAGAGAAGGATTTCCGTTTGTGTTTGAAGCGGGTGAGCCACATAATATTCTCATGCTACAAGATTCAGAATTTTTTTTTAATCCGTACAATTTTAGTAATGCTACCGGATTCAAATCTTTAATCCATGGAATTTTTGAAATCAGAATCAAATGTGCGTACATACAGACACATACAGATTATTGATTAGTACCTACCATGTACCCTTTTTCTTTAAGACATAAGCTTAATAAGTATGATATATAAATAAAGGGTATGAGGTGGCGGCTCATTTTGTTAAATGAGCTGCCAAGAGGTTGTGGTGAGGCCCACACCTTTTGATGTGACTAACAATGTGGGCCTCATCACATCCACATGACTATCTCTTGGTAGCTCATTTAGCAAAATAAGCTGTCACCTCATACCTATTGTTTCCACACACATACACACACATAATTTCTAGTGGGAAAAAAAACTGCGAGTCCAACAAAACACATGCTTCCACGCGTATTATTGGTTTTACCAAATCCTTTGAACGTAACATATGGTGTTAGAAATCATTAGTTCAAGGTACTCATCTTAAACTTACTTAAGGCTGAAATGACACAAGCAAAGTTGCAGGATATTGATACATGCCGTTGCTGTTCCATGCCTCCCATGTCAAATTCTCATGGAGCAAGGGGAACGTCTATAAACTTCGATGAGTGTCATCAACTTGCAAGACACCCGTTTTTGTCCATCATTATCATCCCAGCCCGTGTCAAGAAAAAAAAAGGTTAAATTATAGAGCTCAACCTCATGAAAATAATCTTCTACGTAAATTTGATGAGTAATATCCTTTCACCTTAGGACACTAGCTAACTGATCTAATTTTTGAGCAAGCATTATTACTATGTAAATTTGTTTTCTACCTTCAAGACTTCGTTCTGATTTCAAGCCTTTTATGGCATCTCGAAGGGGATATTAGATCTCGGGATGGTGAGTCGAATGGTGAAGTTGTACCTTATTTTCCAAACTTTCTATTGACTTCCTTTACATTTCCGGGGTGTTTTGCAGTTCTGAATTGAATTGAAAAGGTTCGAGTTATACATTCCTTCCAAAAGCGTCCACTTTAAAGCAGATTCAGTAAGCATATGCAAATTAATTTTCACCAACTACTAATATTGACTATTCTTTAATAAAAACAATGCCCAACTGGCCCTTGATGCATCATCGCAGCCTAATAAAATAAAAATCCCTTGTTGTTAAACATGTCACGCTAAATATACCAATAAATAGGGGTAGGCGTGAGCTGGTCGAGTCTGACCCGTTAACCGGTCCGCCAGATTCTCTAGCCAGGCCTGTTGGGACCCGACCCATGCCAGAACTTAGAGGTCGGGCTTGCTACTCTAACCGCGGGTCTGGACCAGAGCCCAGTCTGGCACGCGACCCACATAGGCTGGGCCGAATCTGGCAATGAAACAATGGTTTGAGTCGGCAGTCGACCCGCGTTCCCCCCTACTTTTCTCTTTTCAATCTATACTTATAATTGTATATTTGTAAAATTATATTTAATTTATTTTTAAACTATAAAGAAGAGAAGAACTAAAGTTAAGTTCCCAGCGTTTTTAAGTTAGCATGCATCTCTGACGATGAAGCCATTCATACCTTATCCATGATACGCTGAGGACATCTGAAATATGTGCACGCTTGAGCTTCCTTAAGCTTTCATTCAAGATTTGCTCAAAGGACGTAGGGGATGTTTGGCAATTCGAAAGTAAAATGAGAATGTGTAAGTTACTATTTTTTTAATAAATGACTTTCACATTCATGTCAACATGCAAGTGAAATACAGTGTTTATTTGAAAAATAAAATTATTATTGAAAGTGCGACGTGAAGGTGATGTGGCAAAATATGATTATTTAGTAAATGTAGTTAAATTATTTAATTAAAGTTGGTTACCATTTTTGTCATTTTCATGTGACTTCACCATTTTTTAAAGGAAGTCAAAATTTCATTAAATCATATATATCAACACTCTTACATTTCGAATTTCATAACCACTTGCATGCAAACAAACACCTAAAATATTGAAAACAAGTTACTTTGTCACTTTTATTTTTCACTTGCACGCAAGTAAACACTCTCCTGAGTAGATAAAGAACCTTTAGTGATAGATAAGACCCTCTGGGCAGAATCATTCGAAAGGGATTTCCAAATGGCAAAGAAGTACCTTGTGCATCACGAGGTCGGCTCATTTCGATTGAACTGCTGGGATTTTTATTCAATTGCTAGGGTTTAGGTGTGGGTGTGGTCATGGCCTCCTAGCAGCAAACTAGTCTGCTTTGAGGCGGGCAAAAGTTTAAGTGAAAAAAAAACTAGGCCAACAACTTATGTTTGATCCAAGCCGGTTCAACGAGCCAGCTTCTTTGCGCTGCGATTTCTATTCTTTCCCTTAGTTATAAGCCTTAGATCCAGCTCCGTCCCATGCTCACCCAGGCGAGTCATACCCATCACACTCGAAGTCGGGCCAAGGCTTAACCCAAGGTAAGTTGGGCCAGTTCAGCCCGCAGTTGAAAACAGCCCACGTCCACCCCTACCCATAAGACCATCTCCAGCATGAGGTGAAATTTCACCCATTCTCTCCTGCCACATCATTTTATTTAATTCAATAATCTTTATTTCCCTATCAACTCTGCAGCAGCTAGTTTTTCAGAAAGTTTTTTACTTTTTTTGGGACCCACCATAACCACATCACTTCAACATATACCCCACCATATTTATTCATTCTTTTTCCTATTTCATATATATATATTACTATTATTATTATTATTATTAGACCCGCTACTAAACCAGGGTGTCGCTAGGTCACTCGACTCCGTGTTAGGACAATTCATATGAGAGGGAACATAGCTGTTTCCCGGAACTGGAGGATAACCGTAAGGAAGATAAGGGTATTGCATGCCGAAATTCGGTTGCATCATATAGGGCATTTGAAAATTGGGCTGCATCCCCGTATTTTGAGTATTTTCGGGGCGTTGTATATTTGGATGTTGTGGTTGAGGGAGGGTATTTTGAGGTTGGTTAGGAAAGTTGTAGTTGTAGGGAAAATTAGGATAGTTTTGTGAAGGATCCATGAAGAAGAAATATGAAAAAACTAGTTTCAAAAAGCAAAAAAGAAGGAGAATAGGGTGTAGAAAACTCAAATTTTTTTTGGTGTCCAAATAACACAAAGTTAGTCTCTGTTTATAGAGTTTGAAAAATGAAAAATAATGGTATAAAAATTAAAAATGAATTCATAGTAATTATCTCCCAAAATTGCATTTAAAAATTAGGAAGAAACCAAAAAATGCCGGCCAATCAGACCATGACGCGTGGCAGCGTGCATGGCTGATGCCAGCACAAGCCCGACACGCGTCATGGTCTGATTGGCCGCGCGTTTTTCTAATTTTTTTTTAAAAAAATTGTGGCAGACTCTGTGGGCCCCACGCTACAGAAAAACCCATAGGGAAATTTTCCCTTTCTCTCCCCTCTGTTTCTAATTCCCTTTCCTTTTCCCTACCAGTTGCACTCAAATATCCCCCCAATCCTTTTCCCTACCTGTTGCACCCAAATATCCCCCAATCCCTACCTGCTGCAGGTAGTCTAAGGTAATTTAGTCCATACAACATTTACAATTTGTGCGTGTTCGTGAAAATGGGTTTGCATTAGATTTGCAATGCGGCCACGGACACTGATGACACTGATCTGGGTCCTTTAAATATACAAAACTCACAGAAAATAAAAGTAGAAGGCAGAGGATAGCTAAGGACATGTTTGGTTATTTCCTAAAAAACCAAGAAATGGAAATGAAAACCAAGAAAACTCAAAAAGTATAATTTCATCCATTTTTATCCTTAAATCTCACCCATAACATCTAATAAAATATTATTTTTATCCAACAATCATCCACCACATCTAATAAAATATTATTTTCATCCAACAACTCATCCATCACATCTAATAAAATATTATTTTTATCCATAACATCACTCAACTCATCTCATCTCATCATTTCAGCTCACTCACATCATCCAATAAGATGGTGACAACTCATCTCATCTCATTAACATCTCATTTCCACTCATTTCCTCCCAAAAAGCTAGGAAAATAATTTCCTTAAGAGGCTGTTTGGTTGTTGTTGGTAAAATTGTGTATTTATGACACAGCTTGAAAAGTTATTGTCCACCTCATCAATTTCACTTGTATAATTTTCTTTGTTTGTTTTTGGTAAAATTGCTTGTTTGGTTTACAAATGTAACTTTAATTGTTTGTTTGGAAAGTGTAAAAAGTGGTCCCTACTCAAATTATCATATTGGTTGAAATTATTTTTTATTATTTTTTCCTGATTCCAATGTCAGCTTTCTCCTAAAATCATGTCTTTTTTTTATGAAATCACTTTACAAGCCACATCAGCATATGAAATCACTTTACACTATTTTCACAACTACAAACAAACAATTAAAAGTGATGAAAGCTGACAATAGGACCCATTTTTTTACACTTTCCATCCTTTTACATGGTAAAAACATACAACCAAACAGCCCCTAAGTGTAGATCACATCATCCAATAATATAATGATAACTTATCTCATCTCATCTATTTTCTTATTTTTAAGGATGAACCAAACAAAAAAAAAACAACCTATTAAAAGAAATAGATTTCTTATAATTCATTTCCTTATTTTTTTGGTCAACCAAACGACATCAAAACAAATTTTCTTAAAAAATCACTCGCATCATCCTATAATAAGGTGACAACTCATCTCATCTCATCTCCATTTCTTTGATTTTCTTCTTTTTTTTTAGCAAACCAAACACTCCCAAAATAATTCTTCTTAGAAATAATTTTCTATTTCTTTGATTTCCCACTTTTTTTAGGCAAACAAACAGACCCTAACAGGAAAACCCGTTCCTACCTCTAATAAAATGCTTTGCTTTACAGTAACCGATGTAGTATAACATATGTAATACAATTGGCAATAATCTTTTCAATAAACAGAATAAAACTAACCACATAGATGACCCACACAAATTAGGATAAGCGTCCCCATTACAGTGTTTCCTACCAAAATGTCTGAACCAGCCCATTAAATTTTATCAATGTAACATGCGGTAAGTTGTTGCGGGTGAAGTCTCATAAAGTGAAATATGATTGGATAATGGCTACTAATTCTACGTAGCACATGAAGAAGCTTGAATGTCCCAGAGAACTAGGACGCAATACTTAAGTTACCTTGCCACAATTTTACATACATACAAAAAAACCATCAAAGCCCTCTTAGCTTTTGAGTAGAAAGCTACTTGATGATAAGGAAATGTGGAAGTCTGAAGAACTCCAATATTGGCACTTTACACGCATCGCCAAAACGACTCTTGAATAATTAACGAGCCGAGACACAAATCCATGCAGTATTTTGATACCGATAGCCATCATGTAAGAGCCGGAATGCAAATGTTACAACAAGCTGGATGTTCCCTGTAAGTTGAAAATATTGTATACAGATTAGAGCATACACATAAGCACCATCATTTCAAATTGAACTTCAACTAGAGATACAAGCAAAAGAGAGATAACCTGCCTAAGTGTCGGTTGCCTCATCTTTTAAGGAAGATTGCGGTTGAGCAAGCCTTGAAAGGATAGAAAAAGATCTTTGTTATCCATACCAAAAATGTCTTCCGCCTTTCTCAAGGTTTCCTGCACCATTATAAAATGTAAGCAAACGAGATTGCCCTTTGCTGACTTGAATGTATAGATACGATGGCAGATTAGTTACAATTGGCTATTTCAGAAACTGTAGGATGATGCAGAATTACCTCACGAGATTGCCTGTGGGCGTTGAGCTCCTTAATATTGGCTAAAAATGCCCCAAACTGCTCATAAGAAAGACGGCTCCTGTTGTATACAGGAATTCAAATAGAAAATCAAAAGATAACATACTTCGTACTCGATGTAATATCTATAACTAGAAGCAACGAAACAGACAAACAATGAATTTGAATTGTTTGCGCTAAATAACACATCAAATACTAAAATAATGAACTCACCTAGCCTGACGGAAGAACTCCTTTCCATCAATACGAGGAGTGCGACCTGAAACTTACAAACAGCAATCATAAACACTTCATATTTGCGACACAATTACACAGATACAACTAAAGTTCGCACACTATATGAAACTTTTGCACCTAGGAAGAAAAAACCTATATGGTTTCCTCTAGAGAGCATTGTATAGGGTTAAAGGAGAAGGTGACACCTGGAATATCATGAATCTTGATGGACAAATCACTGTATGTATGTCTTTCAGTGCAATCACTATCCTTTATCAGTGGAGTTGTGCCTACACTGATACTGATTATTCCCTCTACCAAGAAAATCCTATGAAGGTCTTCTACAGAGTATTGTACAGGGAAAAGGGAAAGGATGACACTTGGCATATCATGAATCCTAATGCACAAATCACTAATGTCTATCTGTCTAGTCACTATTGTCTACCAGTGCAGCTGTGGACTACACTGTTAGTGCAACGCACTCTTGCCCTATGTGATATTATATAAAGGGCCTCTAGAGTTCTTCTTTGTTATTATTATTTTTTTGGGGAGCGTGCAGAGGCTAGAAGTAAACCTGGCAAAGAGCGTCCACGAGGTGGAGAGTTGGCTGCCGAAGACTGCTGGCTAGAGGGATACCACGGTGACATGGAAGTGTATCCTTCAAGACGAGGTTTTGTAGGAGAAGTGGCTCCAGAGGTCATATTTGGTGATCCAGCCGTAGAATATCGTTTAGGAGAGCCACCAGTTGGAGTGAATCGAGGGCTGATATATGGTGTTATTTTCTGTCCACCAGACTTTTGTCCTGCAATCAATATAAAAGTCTTTTGATTCATGAAACAATATAGATGTCTGCTAATTAAAGGCGTGTGTAAGGTTGCATCTATACCATCCTGAACTGTGTCGGCTGATTCGGCAAAACCACCTGTCAAATTTGATGAAGTGTAGCTAACAGACCCTCTCTCTTCAAAATAATAAGCACACAAATCAGGGGAAAAATAGACAACTTCAAAGGCTTCAATAGTGACCAAACGAAGGGAAAAAGGAAGAGGAGAGAGAGAGAGAGAGAGAGAGAGAGAGAGAGAGAGATGTGTTTCACACCAACATAAGAAGTACCTTTCCAAATAGGAGGCTTAGCAACTGTCTGGTCACAAGTCCTTATATCAACAGTTTCTGCTTGCTGGTAATACAAAAGAGGGAGAAATGAAACA